CGCTCCACATCCCCACTCCAAGGGCATGCTTCAGCCAGATGAAACCACGTACAGATCCCCTAGCATACCAGCTTCCTTCTTCCTCTCTACCTGTCCCCATGTCATACTCCTTTCTGCAGTCTCTCTTCTCCTTTGCCATATGGTTAATTCCTACTCATTCTTCCAGCTCAGATAAGCAATTTTCCCCCTGGAAGAGCTAGAAGAGAGGGGCTCTATGCTCCTCCCTATCTCTTCTCTTCTCTCTACCCCAGCACTTCACAGTCTTCCCCACTGGCCTGAGAACTCCTTAAAGGCAAGCACTTTATCTTTTAGTTGCACACACTGCTTCCTTAAATAGTTATTGAGTGTAGTTCCTGTTGTAGAAGATGGCAAAGAATAAGCAATGCATAACTCTACTAGTACTTACAGGGGCTAGGCTTGTGCTAAATGCTTTATATATATACTACATGGACTTTTCCCAACCACCTTATGAGACAGAGACGATTGTTCCCATTTGCAGATGGAGAAACTAAGTCTAGAAGAGGTTAAGTCACATGGATAGTAAGTGGGCAGAGATTGGAACTTGTATCTGAATCTGGACATTCTGTTCCTCCGTAACACCAATCCAAGGACTTGAGCCATGCTGAGCACAATTCACTTAAGGTCATTGCCATCACCGTGGAATGAATGACAGTCTCTGGCACCCCCTGCTGTTAGACTTTTGTTGAATTTTTGATTAGATAGTTCATTTTCTTCCGAGTATTTAAACACTGGTTGTTATACAAAGCTCGTCATTGTTCATATATGCTATTTGTGAGAGCAGGGTATCATTTTCTTTTAAATGTGTGACTTCTACTTTGTTGAATTCTTAAAAATTATGTACCGTCAAATTCACTCTTCTTATTGTGAGATCTTACACTTAGATTTCCTGCATGAAGAAAGGGAGCCCTAGAATGCTGGGTCCTTGGCTCACAGACCTCTGGTTCTTTCTAAATTGTATCTGATTATGAGTGTCATGGATTCTAGAGTGTGAAAATGTTTTAAGATGTGACAGAATGATGTTTGATAGAGACCGTGCTAGGCGGAAAGTTAGGGAACCTTGGGTCTATGCTAGACCCTTATTAGTTATGTGCACGTGTGAAGCTGCCCTGTCTCAAAGCCATGTTTCCCTCTGACGTCAGATCAGACCTAACGTTCCATAAGAACCACTCAGTGCCAACGGGCTTGGGGAGCTTAACTCTTGTAAAGCACAATTTCTAAGGTGTTGTCTGGGGAAAACATCCTTGTCAAATTTTCCATACCACAAAAAGATCTATGTTTGGAAAATATGTAAATTCAGCTCCCTTCTTACATATTCACATTATACATCAATAAAATAAAGAATCTGGGAATTCCAGTTGTATAAATGATCTTTGTTTCTGCTTAACCCAGAATTTTCTAAACTCACTACACCTGTGATTCCCCTTTGGGAATAGTATCTACTTAAATCCCGCTGTGCTAGAGTTCCAAAGAGTATGATTCCAAAAATACCAACTAAAAGGCAAAGGCACTGCTAATGTTAAGGAAGAAAAGGAAGAAGTGACATCAGCTTTTACCTCGTTATGGACATGCTGGTTTAGAAATACACTTGCCCCTTGAGAACACCAGAAGGGACCCCTTGCAGTAGCTATATACACTATCTGCCGGTAGTTGGGGATGGAGGTGGATTTGGACACAAGCTACACCATCTGCTTCTAGGAAGAGAAGTGTGGGGCTGATCTTCTGGTGCATAGTACTTTAAATACTACCTTTCAGGCTGAGCCTGTAAAGCCCTCTATTAAATGTGACGGAGCCCCCATGGAGGGGGCCATCTTCTGGAAGCCATGCACCAGCTGCTGCTGATGACTCACATTTCCCTGCTTTCTGGAGCCTGGGGAAATCTGCACACCATTTTATTTCTCCTTTTGGATATGTAGAGCCCCAACCTCCTCTTTCCCTTGGTCCTGGAGGGGGATTGTGCAAGTTGTGGCTGACTTCTATCTTAGGGCTAAAAGGCAAGTTGTAGGGCCCGAGAGTGGTTGAGCTTAAAGCCAGAGCCCATCCTGCTGGGGAGCAGGATGTGTTGGCTCATACTTGTCTTCCCTGCCTCATGGCCCATAGTTCCTTGTCTCATGGCTGTGATACCTTTGCTCTCCATCAAGATCCATTCTTGATCCTCCAAGAATCAGTTCAGGGACCCATCCATTTATCCATCCTTCCATCCATCCACCCATCCATCCATCTGTCCATCTGTCTGTCTGTCCATCTGTCCATCCATTCATCGTCCATCCATTCATCCATCCATCTGTTCATCTGTCTATCTCTCCATCTGTCCATCCATCCTCCCCTCCATCCATCCATCTATTCATCTATCCATCTATCCACCCATCCATCTATCTGTTCATCTGTCCATCCTTCCATCTGTCCATCCATCCATCCATCCATCCATCAACCTAGCTGGTTGATGGTTGTCTGAGTATCAGAGATGCAGAGGGAAAATCTTTACCCCCATGAAGCTAACAGTCTTGTCAGGACAGCTGCAGGGCACCATTTCAGCTGTCACCATTATCTGCATCAATGTGTATGCAGTGGTCCCCCATGAGTTGTGTCTGACCCTGTCAATGGGGGAGCCCCACAGTTCTGATGTCAGTGGGCAAGTCACATTTTAGATAAACATGTGAATATATAGTGTGTGGGGTGTACTGTAGTTGGTACTATGAAGCAGAGTGGGCAGTGGTGTGGGGTTTGCTGGTAGGGCAGAGGTGTCTAGTGTTCCAGACAGGGCAGCCAGGGGGCTTCTCAGGTAAGTGATGCTGAACAGAGACCTGAAGCCAGTGAGAGAGTGAACATTGCCTGGGTAGTGAGATTCCAGATTACATTGAGTCTCACTAACCTTGGCTTTCACTCTGAAGGAAATACAGGGCTGATGCACAATGCCACAAGAGGGTCCTGAGCGGCAGACTGCATGCCCTGTTTCTGTTCAGCAAGCCTTCCCTGATTCTTTAGTTTGGGTTAACCCTTGTTCTCTGGGCTTGTGTAGTGTCTTCTGCCTTCCTCTCATGGCTGATGCCCTGAGACCGTAGGGACCACTCTGAGCTGTATTCTGTACAGTTCCTCGGAGGATCCTGGTGGGATCAAGCCCCAGTTAACCCCACTGTTTGCCAGATCAGGGAACACTCTGCATGGGATTTGTGTGGCTGCCTGCCTCTCCTACTTACTCACTCCGGTTTGTGCAGTCATCTCCATAGACACTATCGGCCTCCAATCATTTGTCTCAGGCTCTGCTTTCAGGGAAACCTATGGAAGACACTCCATCGGAAGTGTCTACCCCGATTGTCTATTGACTGTCTCTCTCCCTACCCAAAGGCTGGGGCTTAAAGACAGAGGCTGTGTGTTTCATTCATCCCTGCATCTCCAGCTGGGAGATAGTGCAAGTATAAATAAGCACAGGACAAAATAATTCTCAACCTCCAAGAAATGCAAATTAACAAGTAGGTATTAATGATAATGCAGGGTGCTTGCTGATTTTATGCATGGCAAATTGGAGCAATACTTTTGGGAAGCTATTTCATCATATTTATCAAGGGCCATCAATGAGGTTTATACTGTTTGACCCAGTTGTTATGCTTCTGGGAGTTGATTCTAACAATTCAAGCTGAACGAAAAGCTTTGTGTGCAGAAATGATCATTGCAGCAATACATACCATTGTAAAAACACGAAAATAAGTGTCCAACAGTAGGCAGATCACTAAACAATTTATTGTGTATCCAGAAGATGGAATATTGTAGTCACTTATGATTATGAAGAACCGGTAATAACTTGGGGACACTCTTATGATACAATGCAAAAAGGAGATAGTTGTGTGCTTTTTGGCTCCTAGAATTTGTTGTGTTTTTTGCTGCCTATGGACCTTGGCTACCAGTTGTCTCTGTCTAGACTCTGAAGGTTTACCTTCCCTGGCCTTCTTCCCTACTGCTTGTTTGGAACAACTCATTTCAACTTACTTTTTTAGGTGTGAGCTGGCCTGGTCTGGTTCCTGGTAAGGGTGGAAGCACCTTCTCTTTGCTCTCATGGTGGGCGCCCTCCCCTTTTCCTCTTGTAACCCTGTAAACCTGTGGTTTCTTATGCCTCTGCCTCTCCCACCGTCTGCTCCAGGAGAGCACATCCCACTCTGTCCCTGCTCCGTCCTGGCCCCTCAGGGCCTGGCCCTATGCTGAGAGCTGAGGCAGTGAGCCAGCACGTAATGGGGGCATGGATGAGTGGAGGGATGCTAGCACTGTCATCACAACCATGGGGAGTTGAGGAGAACGGTGGAGAGAAACCTCAGATGTTTGACTGGAGGTTGTTCTGGGGGAGTTATCTTTATTTTATAGTCTCTCCGTTAGCTTTTAAAGGGTCTCTAAATGGAGTTTTATTCTATTCAGTAATAACACCCTAATAAACTCCTGTTCTATGAATGATCTCGTTTTTTCAACAAATGAACGGCGTCAGAGGGGAAGGAAGGCTGGTATAGATCTCGGCAGGCCGCGGAGAGGCAGATCAGGGTGGGGTCTGAAGACAGAGCCCCGCTCGAATCACCCACTGTAAAGCCACGTAAAATTGAGGGTGGGCTCTTAACACCTAGGAAAGGATTACTGTGAATTGGGTCCATTGACATGATGGGTTGCACTTCCGATTATTTAAAAACTCCTTGACGGTTGGAGATGTATCCCGAGGTATTTCTAGGTGGCAAGGTATGCTGTTTGGGATTTATTTTACACCTGAGCAAAAAGAAGACTGAAGTGTTGGGGCAGGAGGGGGGGGGGGGGGGGGGGGAGGTAGAATAGGTGAAATGTGAATGACCAGTCACTGAGGCTTTTGAGTCCGGGTGACGGACGTGAGGGGGCTTTTTTATGACATTTCTTTACTTTTGAAAATACTTGGATAACTTTATTATTAAAAGTTAAAACAAAAATTCTTGGCTTTTCCCTAGTGACACTTGATACTCTGCTTGGCTTTTCAGAGTGACCGACTCCTCATCAAAGGTGGACGGATCATCAATGATGACCAGTCCTTCTATGCCGATGTCTACCTGGAAGATGGACTTATAAAGTGAGTTGACCAAAACACACCTTTTTTTTTTTTTTTTTGGAAGATTTTATTTTTTCAGTAAGCTCTACACCCAATATGGGGCTCAAACTTAAAACTTTGAGATCCAGAGCTGCTTGCTCCCCTGACTGAGCCTGCCCAGCATCCCCAAAACATGGGTTTTAAGAAGCCAGTCTTGGGGTGTCAGGGTGGCTTGGTTGCTTGACCATCTAACTCTTGATTTTAGCTCAGGAGTTGTGACATGGAGCCCTGTGTTGGACTCCCTGCTCAGCAGAGAGTCTGCTTGTCTCTGTCTACCTCTGCTTGCTCTCTCAGTCTCTTTTTCTCTCTCAAATAAATAAATAATTCTAAAAAAAAAAAAAAAAGCCAGTCTCCCCAGGCTATTGGGCCCTTAGAGTTCTGTCCCAGAATGACTGTGCTGTGAATATCAGGGATACAAAGATTTGGGGAGGTCGAAACTGCAGGTGGGGAGGGGCTAGAGATTCTGGAATGTTCCCGCTGCACCAGCCCTATGCAGGCCATCAGAAGCACAAGGAGGTGGGAAGTACATCTGGCAGGACACTGAGGTCCACATGCTGCCCCACATTGTCAGCTCGGGGCAAGGCGCAGAGGCCCCCCTAATACACAGGACTGACTTCACAGCTCTGTGACCTGCCCACAGTGTCTGGATTGGGTGGAGGGAGCCAGGAGAAAAAGGAAGAATGTTAGGACAGGGCCGTGGCCTGCACTGGGCTGGAGGGTTCCTGCACTTTGTCCCTTTTGGCTTCCTCTCTCGATGTGACATCCCAGTGTGTTCCATCTGCTCAGTCACTGTAACAAAAAACCCCAGGCTGGGCAGCTGAAACAAGAGACATTTACTTCTCCCAGGCTGGAGGCTGCCAGTCCTGGCTCAGGGCACTGGCAGGGACGGTTTCTTCTGAGATCTCTCTTCTTGGCTTTTGGAGGGTGTCTTCCCGCCCTATGCTCACAGGGTCGTCCCATGTGCGCATGTGCACAGGACATCCCTTCTGTTGGATAAGAGCCCCACCCAAATGGCCTCATTTTAATGTAGTCATCTCTTGAGAAGCCCCGTCTCCAAATATAGGCACATTCTGAGATGCTGGGGGTCAGGGCTTCAACATAGAAGTTAGAGGGCTCCCAGCTCAGCCCACAACACCAGACTGGTTTTGATGGGGCGACCACACTTTACTGGCTAGTCACGGAGAGGTTCAGCTCTCTTTCTTTCACATGGTGAGTGCCCTGGTTTCACTCGTTGCTCCGCATCTTCCCCTGGAGTCTGGAAGAGTAGGAGCCAGAGACTCTCAGCATCCAGCCTGGACTGCTGACGCAGGAAAGAAAGGCAGAGAGGAATGTGAACGAGGTGAAGGTCAAATGGAAATGGGGTCTGTTAACGGGACCATCTGGTGTCCTATATGCTTTGATGAGGAGGAGGAGGAGGAGTTGGTGGGGGGAGAGGGGAAGTTTAGAAGGGAGGAAGAAGGAGGGAGGGACGGAAGGAGGGAAGAGGGGAGGGGGGAGTAGGTGAGAGGATAAGAGGGAACTGTGGATGGCCGTGAACATGGAGAGACCATGTCCACAACCTGTCCAGTGAAGAGCTCAGGAGAGCATGGAGCCCTTCTCTGCCTCCCTCTGCCTACCCCAACTCCAGTCCCAGATTCTGACCATTTCAAGTCCTGCCCAAGCCTCTCTTCCTCCGCTGGATTCCTTCCTCTTGCTTCTTCCCAGCCACACTGAAAACGTGGTACCTGCTGACCTAGCCCAGCAGCTCTCACCTGGAACCTTGCACCCATAAATCCTCTGGCTGGAACACCTTGCCCCACCCCACATTCTCATTTCACTGCCCTCCCCCCACCCCACTCCCCAACCCCTGTCTGTCCTGTGGGTCTTGCTCATGTGGTTCCTCCTCCAGGAAGCTTTCCTTGACGCCCATGCTGGCAGCATTCCTCTGCTGGCCAGCCTGTGTGCCTGTCCCCACAGTCCCCAAGCTGCTCTTTGACCCTGACTAGGGACCTTGCCTTAGTCAGTGCCGGATACGAGAGGTACTAGGAGTATTGATAGGAAGTGTAGCGAGGAACCCTGGCCTGTCAGGCAGCAGGACCTTGGGCTCTTGGTCATAGTACAGGCTGGAATGAGAGGGAGAGAGGCAGAGGTGGTGGGGGAGTGGTGTTTCTAGGTCAACCCCCTGCTTCAATACAGAGACAACCACTCCGGGGTGAAGTCTGTTTTGTGGGGCCTCAGGGTTCTGGGCCATGGGGGTAAAGGATGCTGACCCTTTTGTGGGACCACCTACCCACCTGTCACATGGGATTGAGGTTAGCTCTGCAGGAGACTTGCAGTCCAAGATGTGTATATGTGAAGCAAGTGCTTACTGGGCAAGCTGCATTTATTAAGTGCTTGCTGTATGAGTGAACACCTGGAGTCTTAGGGACTTTGGTAGACCGAGTTGTTCAGGAAATATGCAGTGTCCACAATTCATTATTTGTCAACTCCTCTTAGTCAGAGACCCCTTTTTATTTGACTCAGTTTCTCCTCCCCACACCTCACTAAGCAGAGCGAGTCTCTGCATGGTCATTTGGAGCATGGAGCCCTGCTGGCTGGGGGGCAGGGGTGGGAGGGCTGAGACCCAGAGGGACCACCTATACTGACCTCAGGTGCAGCCTGGCATAAGGAGGCTCAGTTATGCTCCTTCCCTTTGATTGAACACCAAGAATTCTTCTCTTTTGTAGCCATTTGCCCAGTTTTCCTAAAAGCATGTCAGCTGTGTTTGTGTTAAATCGGTTAGGATTCATTGAGGGTTCCATCCAGTTTGCCGAGGGCTGGTGACTCAGATGCTAGCTGGGAAGCACTTGTGTAGGGGGCAAGGGTGGTGTTGGGGGTGCGGGGAGGGAGAATAATTCTGGCTAATTCATGGAGCCTCCTGTTCTGCACATACTGCCATTGAGAACCATATGCGTTCTTTCTCCTAATGCACTGGCAGTTCCATGTGGGTTAATCCCAGTCTGGGGAGAGCCTGCTCCTTCAATGTAAGAGAAGCCAGAAGGCAAGTAAGGCTGGTGGGCAGAGGCTAGATATTATATTAGACTTGGGGGGACTTGGCTTGAGTCCATACTCAACTGACTTGCTGTGCAGCCTTGGACAAGTCAACATACCTCTCTGAATTCCATTTTCCCCCTTTGCAGAATGTGTTTACTTCTTATAAAGAGAGGCAACTGTCATGCCTTTAAAATGGGCCCCTAACTGTAGTCCTTGGCACCGCGACACGGTGACTGAGTCACACACCCACTCAGGCTCCAGGTACCCACACGAGGGGCTGTGTGTGTGTATAGCCCAATGCCCACTCTGGGTCACGCCTAAGCCTTTGCCAGCATTAACCATTTGAACATGATCCCGCTTTCTCGAAAAGCCAGTTGAAGCATGAAATGAGATCATCTGGAAAATGCTTAGGAGAGCCGGATCTCAGGGGTGACCTGCTCCTGGTGAAAGGTTTGGGGCCATCTCCTCCTGGACCCCCTGCTCTTCAGCTCCTGATGTATCTCCACGTGTTTGGAGCTGGACAGTAGGAGGATCGGGCACAGCTGGAGTCTGCACATCGAGCTGGAGGTGACAGAGGGAAGGATATTGGCGTTAGAGGCAGCAGCACTGTGCTTGTGGGCGTGGTCACAGTAGTGGTCCCTGGCCCCGTGTTTTTGCTAGACTTATTTTCAGTTTCAGGACAGAGTACGATGCCCCAATTCTGTGGGAGAGCCCAAGAGGAGCCCTCTTCCCACCCACCATAACTTGCTTAGACCAGCCCTGTGCAGGGGTCCAGAGGAGCCAGGATCGTCCGCTCCAGCTGCTCGGATGTGGATTCTCTTTGGGACCTGACATGGTGGTCCCTACAGCAACACTTGCCTGTATCTTCATTACGGGTGTTTTCTGTATCTTACAGTATTGTTGCCTCATCTGAAGAGTTCAGAGCCACTGTATTTTTTTTTTTTTTTAATAAAAAGTGCTCCTGTTCAGACTTTGTGGTCTTCGCCAGGCATTGACCTTGGAGGCTCTCTTCTTTGTCCTGGTTCTGGCTGAGCCTCCCTTCCAATATGTCTCCTGCCTGTGGTTCCAACAGATGAAACAGCTGCCACCAAAGGGGACAAGTCTTCCAATTTCTTAGGCTCTTCTTCCTTCTCCCTCCCTTTGGAATTTCTACCCCTGCTGGCACCTAACACGTTGGGGAACAGAAGGGATGTCAGCAGGTTCAGAAAAATTCTGCTGTCCCCAGTGTGATTCCCTCCAGGCAGGTGTTACGATGTTCATGGTTTTTTCTTGCAGGGACTGGGAAGTTAAGTAGCTTTCCTGAGGTCAGTGCTCAGGAGAGTGAAAACCATAATCCCAGTTGCCTGTCTGCATTAGCCTGCCGCTGCTGGTGTAACAACATACCACACACACTGGGCGGTTTAAACAACAGATGTTCATTCTCTTGTGGGTCTGGAGTCTGGAAGTCTGATATCAGGAGGTTGGCAGGTTGGTTTCTTTGAGGCCTCTCTCCTTGGCGTGTAGATGGCTATCTTCTCCCCGTGTCCTCATGGGGTCAACCCTCTGTATGGGTCTGTGTTCTGATCTCCTCTTCTTAGAAAGACACCAAGCCTATTGGACTAGGGCCCACAGGGACAAACTCATTTTACCATAATTGTCCCTGTAAAGGGCCAGTCCTCAAATACAGTCACATTCTGAGGTCCTTGGGATTAGAGCATCAACATAAGCTTTTGGGAGGGTCCCACTTCAGCCCGTAACACTACCTCTCATGGTCTGCAGAGCTGAGGGGACGGTACACCCTGTCTCCTGCAATCTGAATCATCAAAGTGGTTGATAAAAGTGTTCTAAAGGAGTTCTAGGCTAGTCTGAGAACTCTTTGCCACCACCTTCCCCTGGAAGACTTCCTGGATTCCTGGACTGGTGAAGCAGCCCACCTTATACTCCCTACCCCTGCCTGAGCGTTCTCTGTCTATCCAGTGCCCTGCCTAGGACCTGGCTCAGGAATGTTTACCTAATGGAACTGAAGCTGCACAGTTGGCTGCCATCTTGTCTTTCCTTTAAGAACCAAAGGCCATTTTGGTTGTTTGTTTCCAGACAAATAGGAGAGAACTTAATAGTTCCTGGTGGAGTGAAGACCATCGAGGCCAATGGACGGATGGTGATTCCTGGAGGTATCGATGTCAACACCTACCTACAGAAGCCATCCCAGGGGATGACCGCTGCCGATGACTTCTTCCAAGGGACCAGGGCAGCGCTGGCAGGCGGGACCACGATGATCAGTGAGTTGAACCCCTGCCTTGGGCACATGGGCAGTGACTTTGGTCCGTCATCACCAGTGGCAGCAGAAACACTGCATTCTCAATCTACACCAGGCAGTTTGCTCAGGGGACCAATTCATGTAGTTCTCACCACAACCTACCATAAAGACTGGCATTGGTGGTACACAGAGGATTTTATAGGCAATCCAGACACTTAAAAGTTTAAATTATTTTAATGCATTGGAAGATAAATAACTAGCACTAGCACATCATGGGTGCTGTTGCGTCGGGTGAGATTGAAATTAACATTTAAATTTTGAGAAATGGGGAGCTGATCTAAAGAAAAGTATTAAGGAAAGAATGATATGGTTTGTAGGGAAGTAAAGCAAAAAATTCCTGAACCTGGTGTGCACATGGCTAAAGTTTTGGGACAAGGGATATAGGTGTTATGAAGAAAGATGGGAGAGGAGAGACTGAAAAAAGTTGCTGAAGGTGACACAGTGGGAAAGTGGTTGTTCTAATCAGTGTTGATGCAGTAATGCCAGGATAACGCTGCATAATGAATAGTTCCCAGACTTCAAGCGTCACTTGTTTCTCTTGGTCAATGATCAGAGGGACTAGGAGCAGGATGGAGTGATTCTGCCTCAGGATGTGGGTTGGGTTCAGATGGGCACCATGGAGCTCCCACCCTGGAACCAACACCCAGCTCAACCATGCCCTTCTCCTGGCAGACAGCAGAAGTACAAGAAGAGTCTGGTAGAAACTTGCCACTCCTCTTACCACCTCATGTCTTCAATTACATGCTGAAGTTCTGTTGGCCAAGGCAAGTTGCATGGCAGAGCCCAAAGTCCCTGGGATTGTACTTTGCCCATCATGAACCCTGGTGAAGGTGGGAAGGGAGGAGGCATTGTGTACAAACAATGCCATCTAGCACAGAGGTTTCCTGGGTTGCTGGATTCCTCTACATCATTTTACGGTCTCTTGTAGTTTTTGAAGTAGCTTTTCTTTCTTGGATTCTATTTTATTTTATTTTTATTTTTAATTTTTTTAAAGATTTTATTTATTTATTGGACAGACAGAGAGAGAGAGAGAGAGAGACATGAGCAGTGGGGAAGGCCAGAAGGAGAGGGAGAAGCAGACTCCCTGCTGAGCAGGGAGCCCAACACAGGGCTCGATCCCAGGACCCTGAGATCATGACCTGAGCTGAAGTCAGACACTTAACCAACTGAGCCACCCAGGTGCCCCTCTTGGATTCCATTTTAATAAATTATTTTAATTAATAAGCAACAGTTGATTTTCAGTGTTCTTTCAACTGTTAGGCTCTCTGGCTGCCCATCTCTCTCCCTCCTAGGAATCCCTTTGGAAGTATGCTGGGCTAGAGTTGGCCATGGCAGGTGGAGCTCATGCATCAGAGCCTCCTTGTCCCCCTGATTCAGGAGGGGATGGCCCAGCTCATGAGGCAAGCACAGTCCTGGTCCCTTCTCCACAAGACAGCCTTTTGTCTGCTGGTTGGGAAAGTGGGAGGAGCCCCAGTGTTGGACCTGGATGGATTTGGACTTGGACCCCAGTTCTCCGGGTTTGATCCTGATCACTGCCACTCAGCACCAGTATGACTGTGGGCAGTATTTAGCCTCCCTGTGCCTCAGCTTTCTCATCTGTAGGATGGGCTTTATTATCTGAGTCTCCCCCGGCATAGCATTGCTGGAAGACACACATGAGGTTCCTGGGTGTCGTGCATGACATGTGGCAAATACTTGGAGATAGAAGCTCACACAGTGCTGGGAAGTGGGGAGGGAATTTACAGGCTCAGGGGACCTATGTGGAGTAGAGGACAGATCCCCAAATCAAAAGTCAGGATCTCCAGGGTCCTGCTTTGCTCCTTTGAGACTCTTAGGGCAGTGGCTTTATCCATCCCATCTGGAAAAGGGTGATTTTCACAATGTGTTTCATGGAACCCCAAGAACCCGTGGAAGCACTAGGAGGACCATGGTGAGGGGCGGGGAGGTTCTGAGTCCCCACCCCATGTTGTCATCCAACAGATACTTATTGAGGGTGGCTCTGTGCTATGTGTTAGGGGAGGGAAGTACCAAGGTGGACATGGTGCTGGTACCCCAGTGGTTGCAGTCTTATGGGGAGTTACAGATCATGTATAACTATATGCAATGTCTGTAATCTGTGACTAGGGCTACAACATAAAGGGGTGCAAAGAGCTTTGAGCTGAGGGGCAGAGAGCTCAGGGAAGGCTTCCCTGAAAATGCAGCATTCATGCAGAGGTCCGAAGGATGAGTATGAATTCACTGGGTGAAGAGGGTGGAAGGGAGCAGGGCTCCAGGAAGAGGGAACAGCATATGTGAAGCCCCTGTGATGGGAGGACACAGCTTGCATTGAAGAGACAGAAGAAGGCCTGTGAGGCATGAGTGCAGAGATTCAGAGATGGGATCGTGTGAGGTAAGACTGGAAGGTGAGGGTGGTACTGATGGGTCTTGATGGCTGAGGTAAGAATTTTGGACTTTTTCAAATGGGCAATGAGCAGGCATTGAAGTTCAAGCAAGGAATGATGCCATCTGCTTTGGGTTTTAAAGAGACCAGAATAGAGTGGCCTAGATCAGATGTGGCTGGACCAGGGGGAAGTGATTTTAGTAGCTCAGCTGACAGAAGAGGGTAGCTAGGATGAGGAGTGTGGCCATGGATGTGGACAGAGATGGCCAGCTCTGGGGATATGTAGGAGGAAAATATAAGTACTTGATGTTGGGTGATGGGAGTACCTGAGAGAAAGAAAGAGTCAAGAATGACCCTTGGGATCCTAGCTATGGAATTAAGAAGGTAGCCTCAAGCTGAAGAGGCTGTAGGGACCAGATTTGCAAGGGGAAGGGGGAACAATGTTGCATGAGGCTTGGGACATTTTAATCTTGATGTGCTTTTGAGTCTTCCTGGTGGAGAGGTCAGGGAAAGAGCTGAGGTCAGAGTTCTGAGGCTAAGAGAGAACGGTACATTTTAATGAGCAGGTGCATTGAAGGGTGGACCAAGCCATAGGGAATTTGACCATTTAATGGCCAAGTAGAGGCAGAAGAGTCTATAAGGAGACTGAAGAAAAATGGCCACAGAAGTAGAATAAAAGCCAGAAAGCCATGTCGTCATGGAAGCCAAGAGCAGGGAGTGATTCACTGTGTCCCAGGAGGTCCATTGGAGTCAGGACTGGATGTTTCCATTAAATCTAGAGACACTGAGATTGAATTAAGTGCAGAGGCTGATGATTTCGACAGTAGAGGAATGAGTGGGCAGAGAATAAGGCTACACTTTATAGATGTCTGGCTGTGAAGGGTGGATATTAGGGAAACAGGGTAGTAGCTAGACGGATATGCAAAGTCAAGTGGGGTTTAAAAGTCAGGCATCTCTGCTTTCATTTGCTTTACATTTAAGATTTTATTTTGAAAAGAGGTGATGAAGTTAACATGCTTTTAGTTTATAAGGTTGTGTACCTTTCAGCTGTGACAGCATGGAGTAGTGGGAAGGGGTTCCAACTGCAGCTGACGGGACTCTGTAGGTCTTCTTCCTACCATTTACCTAGTTGTGTGACTTTCGACAAGTTCCTTACCCTCTTCGAGCCTCAGTTTCTTCTTCAGCCACTGGAGATATTAATATTCACTTCACAGGATGGCTGTGAGGATTTAATGAGATAATTTATGGAAAGCCTGGTGGCAGTGTCTGAGGCATAATAAGCATTCAATAAATACTTGTGATACTGCTGCTGTTGCTGCCAATGACAATGACAATGGTGGTGACGATGTCACTGCTGATGGTTATGGTAATGATGTGACAGTGATGGCAATATTGATGATGGTGGTGGGAGTGGTGATGATGGTGATGGTGATGATGATGGTGATGGTGATGATTATGATGATGGTGATGAAGATATAATGATGATGATGGTGATGATGATGGAGATGTAGATAATAGTGATGGTGATGGTGGTGATGATGATGATGGTGATGATGACATAATGATCATGGTGATGGTGATGATGGTGATGATAATGTTGGGGATGGTGATGGTATTGATGATGGATGGTGTTGATAAGGGGTTGATAGTGAGGGTGATGATTAAGGTGGTGATGATGATGATGTCAATGGTGATGATAGTGATGATGGTGATGATAGTGGTGATGATGGTGTGATTGTGATGATGATGGGGTGAAGAGGGTATTTGAGGCTACCATTGGAATAGCTCAGGTCCTATGCATTTTGGAATGTGATGCATATTTTTCTTTCACAGTTGACCATGTTGTCCCTGAACCTGGGTCTAGCCTTCTGACCTCCTTCGAGAAATGGCATGAGGCAGCTGACACCAAATCCTGCTGCGACTATTCCCTCCATGTGGACATCACAAGCTGGTACGATGGTGTTCGGGAGGAGTTGGAGGTGCTGGTGCAGGACAAAGGTCAGTTAAAGCTTCAGAATGGGGGTATAGTTCTGGAATCCCTGGTTCTTTGGTGGGTCTCAGTATATGGACTTAAAAATCCCTTTATCTGCATTTCTTGTGAGTCCAGCTATGAGCTACGCACTGCGGCATATACAACGGAAAAAGGAGATCCTCTTTGAGGAGTCTGTCCTCTTCTCCTTCAAGCCCTTTGGAGATATCCCCTTGTTCACAGAAAAAAAACCTGATTTTCTTAGCCTGGCACTCAAGGCCCTCAGTGATCTAGGCTCATTTCTCATTTTTTACCATTATCTTGGTTGCATCCCCTGAAACCTGCTACGCTGCTGGGCCTGTGCTCACCTCTACTCCTCCCTTCCAGGAATGCCCTTTCTTCTACCCAGCTACCCAAGCTCAAATCGCAGCTTCTCTGATTTTCCCAATCAGAATTGCTTGTTCCTTGAATGTCTATATCAGGTTACTCTGGGGGCACCTTCTTCATTGTTGTTGGCTTATGGGACACTGGTTCTCTGTCTTGCTCTTGTGTTAAACCCTGAGCTCTCTTGGGTGGAGGGAGGGAGATTGTGTCTATCCATCTCTGTATCCTACCGCAATTCCCTTCTGTTTGGACTCACACCACGTGTCCCTGCACAGTGTAGACACTACAGTGTGCATTGTGTTGAGGTGAATTGAACTGAAGATACATGAAGCAAAGAATAGGGAAAAAATGAACTAGGGTGGGAATGGTCAGTCTGGAGAGGGGCAGTTCTGGATGCTCTCGGAAGAGGCAGCTTCAAATGAAGGAAATGCTCCAAAGAGAACGCAAGGGTGTTTTCCATTTTTAAGATAACATATGCTGTGTTTTCTCATTATAAAAGTATATTTGCCCCATTGCAAAAAAGTCAGAACCTCAAGAGAAGGAAAAAATCTTTTTTCTTCTTGAGCTTACCCCAGTTGCTGCTTACATTCATGTTAAGGATTATTGCTTTCCATTCTCTGTCGATTTGGATGATTTTCTCCTTATATAGTTATATGATGGCAGGTAGGTGGAATCCTTCTATTTCCACTTAACATTTTATGAGTATTCATTACTTTTCATTAATAACTTTCCAGGGCTTGTAATGTACAATGTAATGGTTAACTTGCTTAGTTATTTTCTTTTTATTGGGCACTTAGGTTTTCTGTTTGCTCTACTCTAAGTAGTGTTATGGTGAACATTTTTGTATATAAACGTCTGTTTGCATTTCTAATTGTTTCCTTAGATTTCCAGAGATGGAATTATAAGATCAACGTTTTAACATTTTTCAAGGCTCGTGACACTTACAGCCAAATTCTTTCCTGAAAGATGCACCTTGCATGCCCATGATCCCCATGTCTCTAGCTCTTTGCATGCTTGTACCATTGGGTTGTATTTCTTCTACAAAATCCATGCAAATCTGATAAGTCAAATTCAGTCTACCACTATCCACTGCTGTTCTTTTATCGTTAATTATGATAAATACTTTGCATACCTTTCTATGACTGTCTGGTTATATTCTTTGCCCTCCCATGAGTTTGGGTTTTGTGTGTCTGAGTTCCGCACATCAAGAAGGCACTCCATTGCAGTTGCTGTGAGTCACACTCTTGTTTTGTACAGAATCATAATCCAATCACGATCCAGTCATGACCCATAATTTACAATTTTGTATCTCGCTTTTCTCACCTAACATTAAATCCTGAGCAGTTTCCCACTTACCCTATAGGCTTCATCAAGTCGGTTTTAGCAGCTTGGCTGTGTACGGGGATGTGAAGAGTCCAGTAGAACACCAGCATCACAGAACCGTCTCAGGAGAGTCCCACAGCTCTGTGGGCAAGGGGCACTTTGTGCGGTCCTATGTATTTCATTGTCTTAGAAGAGGACAGAGAATTCTCTTCCCCTGACCAGACACTTGCAAGGAAGTGACTTGGAGAAGTTTTTAGGTGCATTCATGGTTTTAGGTGTCTGACTAATATCATAGAATGTTTTCTATTGATTTAAGTTTCAGAATTAGTGCGTGTTTATTCAGAGACAATATGGAAGTGTCTAAAGTAGAAAGTGATAAAGAATTTGTCTTTCCAGGCATCTTTCCTATTTGTGTAAGTGTGTCCACACTCAAACACACATAATTCTCACGTGAGCAGACCTGTATTGTACATTATCTTGCACGATGCTTTTTTTTTTCTACTCAATAAAACATCATGGCTCACCAGGCCTCTCCACTTAGCAATTGTGTGACCTTGGGCCAGTCACTCAACCTCTCTGTGCCTCAGTTTCCCCAGCTAGAAAATAGAGGTTGGAACCTCAAATGAGAGGGTATAAAGTGCTTAGAACACCGTTGGCTCCTGGTAAGGATTCTGTATTTTTAGTTATTACTTTTATCATCATTCCATCATAAGACCCTCAGAGTGTTCAGTTTTATGGAGGTACTGGGTTGATTTCCTTCCTATTGGAAAATTTTTAAAAATTGTGTTGTCAGGGCTCACTGCAAGCAAATTCTGAGGTAGAGACTGGGGTGCAGGAAATAAGTGTGGATTGGTTTCCTTTTGCTACTGTAGCAAACGCCCCACCCCCATTTGTGGTTTAAAATGATCCAAATGGCAGTTCTAGAGATGGGGAGTCTGAAGTGGGCTTTAGGGCTGAGGTCAAGGTGCTGGGGGCCCTGGAGGGAGCCCTTCCTTGACTTTTCTGGCCCCACCAGGCTGCCCGCATGCTGGCTGGTGACGCTATCCTTCCAGACACTGCCGCTCCCGACATTGACTCTGACTTCTCCCCTGCTCTTCCTTAAAAAGGACCCTGGTGATCTCACTAGGCCCTCTTTTATCTCAGTCTCCTTCATTTGATGCCATCTGCAGATTCCCTTTGTTGTAGGAGGAACATATTCATAGGTTCTGAGGATTAGGGTGGGGACATCTTGGGGGGGGTGTTATTTTGCGCCCCCCTCCCCAGCATGATCGCGGGGTCAGCCACTGAGAGCAGAGCCCAGAGAACGAGATCAGCCGCAGGGAGCTCTGAGACCTGGACACCCTGCCACTGGATCCCAGGGAAGCCAAGGGGGTGGGGACTTCATAGCTCCTCACCAGCCAGGCATTGGGCGAGGCCCCCTGGGAGGGGGCATGACCTTGAGCCAGGCTGCTCTGCGCAGGCAAGGTGATTCACACAGGGCTGACTGCTGGGGGTCATCTGCCTGCAGCTCTCCCCGAAGCAGGGTGTGGGACGATTCCAGCAGTCGGGCTGCCTGGGTTCAAGCCTGCCCTTCGGTGTCCTGGCCAGGTGCTGCCAGGCAAGTCCCCAAGCTGACCTCTCTGGGGTTGTTCAGCGACACCTCATCCAAAGCACCTGGGCTCTGGTACCAAGCACAAACCCCACTGTCTGAGCTCATTGTTAATTCTCCACCCTGATGCCAGGTCTTTGTTGTCATGGCAACCCCAGAGGGAGGGGGGGTGGCTTTTCTTAGGTACCATGGAGGCTGAGCTACCGAGTCCAGCTGAACCCAGGCATAGGGACCTCAGGCAGGGCTTGCTGCCCACACGTCTCTTGATACACCCCATGGGGAGAGAGGAAAGGGGTGCCCTCTGTGGAGAGGGGTCCCACTCTGGCCTGCCTTGGTGACGCAGGAGGAGGAAGGCAGCCAGGGCCAGGGGCTGTGCTGACACTGAATGGTGTCTGTCAGAGCGTCAGACCGGCTGGAGAGGGGCCGGTGTCTGTGCGGCCGCCCACAGGCGTGGGGACCTCAATAGAAGAGCTTTGGGCCGGAAACTGCACGTCATCTCGGGGGCCCCGCACCTGTTGCCCAGCTCCCCCTTCCGAGGAACCCGAGGCAATGTGTTCCCTCAGGCAGGAAGGGTCCTCCACACTGAGCCCCTCTCCTGCCGGGGGCTTCAACCTCCTTCGTTGTTCAGTGACCCCTGGGCCGCCCCTTCATTGTGGTGCACCTGAGACATGCAGGGAGGCCCCAAAGCAGTGTCTGACGGTAGAGGCCGTCCTCAGGGATGGGCTCAAATAACCACATCTCCTAGAAGCCTTCCGTGCTTGCTCGGCACTCCAGGCGGGTGTCCCCTCGGAACTCCCACGGCCCCAGAGGGGGCTTCTCCAGCAGGGCTGTGGGGCTCGGGGCTCTTGCTGTCCTCATCTGGCCTCTGGACTGAGACTGCGCAGGGAGAGGTGGGTTTCTCTCTTCTCTATTCCTGGTGTGCAGTGGTGTCCCGCTCACTTGTCTCACTGGTAGCAGGAGGCACTCAGAGCAGATCATGGGTTCTCCTCCTGGGCCAAGGAACTCTTAAGAACCTGCCAGAGCTAGGCTCCAGGCCTGTTGAACCCAAATTCCCAGAGGGATGTGTTTGCAAAACTCAGGTGTTCTGATATAAAGCAGGGTCAGGATCGCTGGCTCAGGGACTGTGTGCGCCCCTGTGTCAGGGTTTTAGGAAAGACCCAAAGGAACATCAACCTTCTGTGACCCCCAGACCCGAGGTTGGGTCTCAGGCTCCCCTTCACATCCCCTGAAGGAGACCCCAGGACCTGAACCCTCGGCTCTAGGATGGGTGGGCCAGCAAAGTGCCCTCCTCTGAGGCCCCGAGGGTTAGCACCGACAGGCTGTAGGGGTTGCTAGGACCAAAGGGTCTGGAGGGGAAACAAGGTAAGAAATTTGAGGATCCCCAGTAGAGGCTGGCCCCTGTCCAGGGCACTTGTTCTTGCCCTTTCCTTCCTGTTGGCCAGTCCTGTGTCCGAGGTTGGGGGGATGGGTTACAAAGGATATTGTTGTCAGTGCTCTGAAGTGCACGGATTCCTTCTTACCCCAAGGCAAGTAGCACTGTCCTGAGCCTTGGCTCCAGCCCCTTCCCCTCCTTTGTGCACTTGCGGCTTCATCAGAACACACAGTGGGATCATCTACAAGCCCCACCCAGCCCCGCCTGGTCTTTCTCCTTCCCAAGGTGCTCCGTGAATGGTGGTGACCTCAGGGCTCCAGTTCAGGCTCACCTTCCTGTGGGGCCCTCAGCTTCTGTAGTGT